AGGTAAGGCGCGAGCAAAACTGTTCAAAATCGAAGCCGAGGTTAACCCATGCTCGGTGCACTGTAACAACTCATTCATGGTAGCTTTTAGTGACGACGAGCTTTTCCACTTCCTATCAGGACGGTTCAAGATTAACATTTCTGTTCTTCGGGCGAGATTTTTATCTTCGAACCTCTCCCTAACGGCTTTGAGAAAGTCTTCAATGCGGGTTTGTTGGGAAAACTCTACCATCGAACTACATCCTGCTTCCTTTTGTAACGAGATGGCAAAACTCATCGCGTCACCGGCCATGCACGAAATGACCATCAAGACCCTATCCCAATAGGGAATCCGTTGTCCGTAGACATAAGACTCTACAACCGTCATCCAATGCAACACGCTTTCTTCCCTTTTGCCGATGTACGTCCATAGAATTTTAACTTTAATTTTGTTGCTGGTCCCCACTCCTTCTTTTCGCTGTCTTCCCCTTCCTTTCTTATCTCCATCTCCGTCACCACCTCCTCCTCCGCCGCTGCCCTGCACTATTTTCTCAATCACGGCTGGAGTGAAGGTTTGAGTGAGATGAACATTCAGTTTGTTGATATAGGACTGAATGTGCAGATCTTCGTCCTTGGCGGACTTCTGCAAAAAAGTGTTCCATACATTTTCAAATTCCAGTTGATTGTTTCAACTTTCTGCAAGGTCCCATTGATTGCAGCAACTTCCTGTTTCGCATGGAGAACTGTTTCAGTTAGGAGGGCGAGTTTTTCTTCAGTAGCCGCTTGTTTTTCCTTTTGTGCCTGCTGCTCGCTGTGTAACCTCGCCCCCTTTGCTTGCAACTTCTTTCTATCATCAAGCTCTTTGCGCTTTGTCGCTAACATCTTGCTATGTAGTTCAGTGCATTTTTCTTCCAGCATCAGTTCTCTCTCCCWTTGATCTATTACTAGTGCTAGCCTTGCTATGAATGTGTCTCGTTCTTCTTTTGTCTCTTCTAACTTGTCACCAGAATAAGAATATTGGTCATACCAGTCCAATGGCTTGATAAATACTTCTCCCCGGACCTCACTTGTCTCGCCACTTTCTGCACGCCGCCTGATAAATCTCTCTACCCCTTCTTCAGAGGCTTCTTCTTCTTCCTCAATAGTCTGCAATTCATCCTTTATTTCCTGTTCCCACTTTTCCTTTAACTTCCTCTTCATCTCCTCTTCTTCTAACTGTTTTTTTTTCTTTACCTCTTCTTCTTTCTTCTTCTTTCTTTCTTCTCTTTCTTTCTTCTTTTCTGCCTGTCGGCGGTCAATCTCTGCCTGCTCAGCAGGTGTGGGCCCTGGCTTCACTGTTTCTGATCGCATCATCATGCGGGATGTGCATACGCGTCCGAACCCCAGTGGGAATATGAACCTGAACAGTGGGCCCCACAAGACAGAGAGGGCCAACAGGCCCTGAATGGGATAGTCGTCCATGATGACTGCCGGCACAGGAGACCCTCCACCGGATCACCAAGATACTATCCCACTTACAGACTTAGTTTTGACTTGCGGTAATGGAGTACTATACTGCCTCTTTCCCTTTTCGACTGTAGAAGGTGCTGCGTACTATCAACAATAGCTCAACCTGCAATGAACGTTGAATATGTCCTTTTTTTTTCTTTTTTTTTGATGTGCTATCTGGCCTCCTGGATCGAACTTTTGGTAATGTGTTTCTGTTGTCTTGCTTTCTCTTTTTTTTTTTTTTTTTTGGTACTAACTTGGCTGGTTACTGGGTGCAGATATGGAATATAGCGCAGAAGGTCAGATGCAATTGGTTCACTTATCCAACCAGGCAGAGATACTTCGTATACCCTGTTCTTTCTTTCGGGCTTGACAGGCCCTGCAGATGCTCAATATAATCCTTATGCTGCCTGGTACATGCTATCTGACGTGGCTCATAGCCCTTCCCACATCGATCCTTGGTTCTTAATGACGATACCCAGCCTGCCCAACAAGAGGGATAGGAGAGAGACCTACTCCTATTCGCAGAACACTGGACCACCTACTCTAGTGTGACYAGTTCCTGACACATCACACTTGGGTCGTCAGACTCTGACGGCTCAGACCTGACAGCTATGACACCCCAGATCCAGACTTCGACTCCTGACCAGATCAGCAGCAGTCACCTTCAGAGGGTCAGAGAGAGAGAAGGTAGGGAACACACACATGCATGCAGGTTCAGGGAAAGGAGGTGCTTCTCTCTTTTTGAAGATACCGCCGATGATGCTCCACGACGCTCCGCACGCTCCAGGTAAGTAACTTCGTCACTTCTTCTTCGACCTGCTTCCCCCCACTACAAAACTCTTCTACTCTTCCTCCCTCCTTCACTATACCTCCATCACCACTTCTTCTCGCCGGCCTTGATCAGACCAGCGCTATGCATCTGCTCCGACACCCTCGCTGGGTCTGCATTGGCTCAATTCAGCCTCTCCCTTTGTCCCAGACCCTGCATTGCATGTGTCCCGGTACAGTCCCAATGAGATTCAACTGCTGCCGAGGCACTTCGGCCTGGATTTGGACTTGAAAGTCTGGATCTGGACTGACCCCTTGACTTAGACCAGAACTGGGACTGTGCCTACTGAACAACTCTAAACGAACAGACACATTTACTACTTGAACAGGCACTTTCCATTGCACGAACAGGTATACTGCCTACACGTACAGACACACCCTTACTCGAACAGACATGACATACACATCTCCTGGTGAACAGGTAAGTCTTTTGATAATGCCCTTTGCCTTAGATTTAGATGTGCCTGTTGATAGAGAACTTGACTTTTGACCTGTTTTCACGTTTCTGAGCCCTGGCAAGATACCTTTTCACAATGCTTTACTTTTACAAGGCCCGTGCTGCTCTATTTTTACAAGGCCTGAGGCCTATATCGGGTAAAGGCCCTTTTACCATGCCCATAACGGATGTTTTTTTCTTTTTACTAATCCTGTTACTGTCGGGCCAACACCCTCAGTGAGGGCACACTCACGCTGGTATTTAAAAAAATGTATCTGCACCTATCACGGCCTAAGCTATGTTTCCTTTTTCCCTTCTCTTTTTCGTAGCTGTACCAACAAAGATAAATCAAACTAGACTCAGCAAAATCAGCACGCAGGCAAATTCAGGGTTGGCAAAAAGAAGATCGGAGGTAGTGGTGGTATAAGGCCCTACCAATTCAATTACCTGTCCAATCTGGACAGGACAGCCTTCCGGGGCTATTCTATTGTCATTATAGTATTACCCCGTAGCAGCCAAGTCCGTGTTCAAGCCTCCGACGAGGGAACATGCTGGAGCTGCACCCACCAGCAGGTGTGATACCCGCCACAGCAGGTGCGCAATACCAGCCAGGGGTCAGCCAGTAACATCAGGACCGAGCTCCTTGGATGGGCCAGTCACTGTGCCTCCCCTCCTGTCCCCGCTCCCTGCGAACATCAGCAGTCTCTGCTAAATGCTGCTCAGGGGTACCGATGGCCTACCTCTAGGTGGCGGGCACCAAGCTTGCCCAGGAAGGTTCATGAGGCCAACGGGGACTGAACCCCAGACCTCCTGAACGTCACCTGCGTGCCTCACCAACTGAGTTATGCCTCTGGATCTGTCTGTCTTTCTCTCTGTGTGGCGTTTCTTTTCTTTTTTCCAAGAAAAAAAACACCAGGGTTCCCACTGTGGGATGGCAAGAGAAACTCCCCAAAGTGGTTCCTGTTTGTGGAGACTCCACTCTCTTGATGGAGAGCAGCACCTCCTTGAAATTGTGGTCAGCGACAGACAACACTGGTGGTGTGTCCCATGTAATCACTCCAGAACGACATCAATTGCCCTCGTCTGGCAAGGGGGTGTGCTGCTTCTCTAAGTAACTCCATTTCTGTGGCCTGCCCTTGTCATCATCTCCCTCTACACGCCCAAACACTGGTGGTGTGTCTCATGCAATCACTCCGGAACGGCATCAATTGCCCTCGTCTGGCAAGGGGGCGTGCTGCTTCTCTAAGTAACTCCAGTTCTGTGGCCTGCCCTTGTCATCATCTCCCTTTACACACCCATTTCCCCATCCATCCTCTACTCGTTCCTGTCTTGCCTCCCTAGCTACTTGGTGATTGCAAAGGGTTACCACGGGGAGTCTTTCCCATTGTTCCTGTGAGCAGTGCCTGTTTTCCTCGGCTGATAAAGTTGTCCTTCTTTATCCCTGCGTCTCTCGTAAGCCTTGTTCGAAAACGAGTCCCCCACATCCCTCACTCCATGACTTTCCTGGCCTATTTCTACTTCTGCCCTCCCTCCTCTCCTGCACTGATCGAAACATGGCTGCCACTGATCTCCCAACTCTTTAATGCATTTGCCGAATCTTCTTAGGTCGCCTATGTTGGAGGATCCACTACTGTTCGGCAGACAGGGATTTCAAGAAGAGGTGGCGCGTTTGATCAAGGTGGAGGTTGTCATGGGGGAGCGGACGGTAGATGGGGGTGGTTCTGAGACTGGGTTGGGATGTCAGGTTGAAGCGCTTGCTTTCTTCTCCCTCCGACGTAATTGAAGAACAACTGCATTCTGGCTCACCTGTTTTTTAACACCGGTCCTAAGCCCGTTGGTTTGTCCTCGATGCCGGCTTCATCGATCCGATCCGCCCATTACTTCTGGCAGTACATGCACACACAATCAGATGCGTGATCTAGTCAGTACCAGGACGCGTCATTGTCCTCATGCATTGCTGGCAGAGGCATGGAAAGCAACTCAGGTGGGTAGGTACGTAAACATGGAGGTTCCACAGACATTGAACCTCGCTCCACTACTCACCAAACGTGCAAAATGAGAACGCATCTCCCGCTAGAACATGGGAAGATACATTGCCATATTCGCTTGAAATTGTTACCATAAATAAATGGCGCCGTTCTGTTTCTGGTCCAGATCTGAACCCATGGGTCCTGCCATTCTGTTTCTCGTCCGGATCTGAACCCATGGCCATCGCGGCACCATGCACCAAATGTGAAAAAGTCAAAAATATGGCGTGTATCTTTCCACGTTGTAGCAGGCGATAGATTCTCGTTATCCCATAGTGGTGAGTAGCGCCCCACGACTCTTCAACCAACCATCACGCGTGTCTCAATAAACCAACTGTCAGACGCGCACATTCGGTCCCGGACGTTTCGTCTTCTTCCAAACACACCTTTTTTAACGACGGCGGAGACGGCAAAAGTAGTAAGAGACACAACCAAAGACGAATAAATAGATCCAAGCTCATCCAAATACTGGAGTGCCTGCCTTTAGACACGGCAGAAGCTACAGCACACAACAAGTCTCCCCTTGCTTACGTGTTGATCAAACGACACAACGAATGAACATGAACAACGCTGATCCTGATGGGTACAGCAATTTGATCTTCCTCTTCTCCAAAGGACGAAGTATCGTCGGGCTGCGGCGCCCAGGGAGGACCGGGGGGATAACTCGTTCGTACCTTTCTTCAAGGGGAGGAGGAAGAAAAAGAAGCGAGAGAGAGAGAAAGAAAGAGAGAGAGAGAGGTATATGCCACTCCGCTCGATAAGGTGAGTGGCTTTCGTACCAACGACCGTGGCCGCACGTGCCACAGCAAAACAACTCTTTCCATCCTCGACCTCCGCCCTAACACATCATCACCATCCTCATCCTATCCACGTCCCTCCTCCTGCGCGACGTCCAAAGAAACGTGAACTTCATACAAAAAAGAAGAAACGTAAACTTCACTAGTGACTGCACCCTAAATAACACTATCTTCTTAATGTCGCCGTGCCATTAACAGTAACAGTCGCTCGCCCTTCTTTTACCAATAAGCGACAGTGCCCATTTTCCTGAGGTCAATTGATAAAGCTGTCCAAAGAATGATTATACTGAAAGGGAGTCAGCTGAACGAGCGAGCCAGCACCAGATCGGAATCCGGGCCTCATTCACGTCTCCCCGTACTGTACTTCCGAAGTTCCTTCCTCCTCAACGATCTAAAACAATGCTACCGTCCCAGCTCAGTCCTCCTCCTCGTCATCCTTATCATCACCATCGATCACAACGATGATGACCACCATCATCATAAATCAAAATTAAAATCATCATCATCATCATCATCAGTTCGTTAACCAATGATCCAAAGCGTAGCGTACAGAATTCAATACACGAACAAACCTGGCACAAACCCACGTGCTACTCGTACCTTTCTATGCTACGCTGAAGGTCGCACTACCCACAATTAAATGGAGGGAAAAAGAGAGAGACAGAGAGAGAGAGAGAGAGCAACGCCAGCAATGGTTTCACAGGAGGGGACGAGGGAAAGCCAAAAACGACTCCACCTCCTAAGAGGAGGATACAGACGTGGCACTGCAAGTAGATCGCCAAAAACAACGTCCCGATCGGAGTCTCTTCCACATGTACACATAAAAAACCTGTCCCTCCTTACCCACAAGCAACGCCTAGGATCCTAGACACGTATCAGACGCAGAGCCTCCCATCGCCATCATCCTTGTCGTCATCATCATCGCCACCATCGCCGTAACATGACAGTGTGTCGCAGCTGGGCCTCTACAGCTCGGATTCGAAACCCGACAAAAGTACTATAGCTTTGTTGTGAGTTGTTATTTCCATATACAGTTTATATACTGAGATGAGCTGGAAAACAGTCAGAAAAGACGGTGCACTAGGCAGTAGAAGGGTAGGCAATCATGCGGTCAGTCATCATCCGCACCAACGTGAGAAAGAGCAATGGGGCAAGCAGAGGCGAATCAGGAAAAGGAGGAGGATGAAGGAAGGAGTCACGCGAGGAGAGGTTCCCCGACAGAGCGCTGTCTATTCGTCGCTCTTCCGGCTATGGTAGTCGTTCTCGTTGTTCGTGCCACCGGCTCCGATGGCACAGCTGGTAAATCGAGTTCTTCCTCGTCCACGACGACAGCAGCAGCTCGGGTTGCAGCTCTTCTGCCGTCGTCGGCCGTCGTCGCTGCTTCTCCTTCCATCGTCTTTGCCGTCATCGTGGTGTTCTGTTCCTCTTCTTCTTCTAACATTAATCTCTCAAGCAGTTCAGCGTCCCTCTCTAGCTTTTCCAATTCCTCCTTGTCGTCCTCGTCCATCTCAAAATCCTCCTCAACCGAACTGCCAGGAGCACTCTTTGTGCTCGCAGCTGCTAAAGCCTGCTCTTCTGCCGCACCTCCTCCTTGTTTCTCTCCTACCACCCGCTGCGCCGTCGCGCCCAACTCACTTCTTTGGCTCTTTGATGATTCCGGCGCGCCACCGATCTCACCGACGACGTGCCTATCATCATCAGTGGCGACTCGAGCACCTGCTGCTGCTGCTGCCGTTGTGCGACCGTGACTCTCCGCCTCTACGGCGATTGCAACACGCTTCCGCTGGGGGCCCTCTTCCACCCGCGGCTTGACATGTCTTTCCGGGACAGCTTCTGGTTTCGACGTTGGCACCGGCGGCAACTCTTCGACCATGATTTCGTCCTCCAGGAGACGCAACTCAGCTAAAACTCCCTCCTCAGCTTCGTCTTCCAAGGCTTCTCCCAGTGCAGCATCCACGTCACGCTGATAAGCCCTGGCTTCCGCTGTATCATCCAAGAGCTTCTGGACATCCTCCACGTTCACCTCTCTCTGCAATTCCTTGATGGCTTTTGCTCCCGCCTTCATGCTCTCAAACACATCCCTTTGCCGCCCCGCGATTTCGATGTTGCCCAGCTGTTGTTCCACGGTCATAATCCAGACGTCGACTTTCTCCAGCATTTGCTCTTGGTATTTCTTCTTCTTCAACGCCAGAAGCGCTCTATCGCGCTTCTTCTGAGCCACAAGCAACCTCGCGGCCTCCTTCTCTCTTTCCAACACCGCCTCCATCCTTCCTTGGAACTCTTGAAGTTTCCTTCTCTGGGTCTTCAAGGTCAATATCGCTCTGTCCACATCCGTTACCTTGTTCTTCGAGAAATTCGAAAATAATTGACCCATGATTGTGGCGTACCGAGACGCTTACACCGCCGAGCGCCAAAAACAAAAGACAGCCGGGCATTACTCCACGTCCAGCTTCCTCCCCTCCTCGCCCCCGCAAAACAACCTACTCAACCTACCTCCTCCCAAGCGCCTAAGAACGACTGCAAGATGCGCGCCCGCGGGAAGTCGACCGACGAACCAATAGCTCCTCTCAACAAGCCCGTCTCTCGCCGAGTTGCGCAACTTTCTGAAACCAGCAGACGGCTTTTCCAACCCGGAAAATGGAGGAACTACCGAATCTCTGGCCGTTCAAAGCGGTGTAGATCGACAACTTCGAGGAACATTTGTGCAGAGCTGGATATGGCCGATCTTTCCTTCCGTCCCACGCTCATTCCCTTGGCCATTACGTCGCCTCGTTCATTGCCGTCGCTTTCATCTCTACCACTTGCCCCCCTTCACCCCTCGCCGCCCCGCCCCGCCCCCCGAAATATCCCGCTATATACTTCTCTCTCTCTGTCCTTCGTCTCCTTCCCTCCGTTCTCTTCCTCTATCCGCTCATCTCTCTCCAAACACTCACCCGCTCTGCGCTTTCTTTCTTCCGATTTATTCGATTTGTAGACGATATAACACCACCTTGAGGCTCGCCAGAGTTCGTGCCTCCTTCCCTATCTACCAATTTACCTACTTACCTGTCTTCTCCCCTTTCCTCCTCCCCCTTCTTCCCTCTTTACTGCGCTGTCCAGAGTTTCCTCCTCCTCCTCCCTCCACCCCCCCAAACACCCTTCTGCCTTCTTTCTCGCCTTCCTCCTATCTTTCCTCGCTCCCCTGATCCGCCTCGCTGCCTTTCCTATCGGTTTTCCTCCTTTCTATGCCTTTATCCGCTGCCCGTCACCCGCCCCTTACTCCCTCGTGCATACTTTTGCACTCTTCCTTCCTTCCCTATCTCCCCAGTCGCCTACCCGTCTCCCTCTCCCTCCCTCGCCCTCACCCTTATCTCGCTGTCCTTCACTACTGCAACTTATCGACTTGCTTATCTTCCCCTTCCCTTCTCTCCCTTCTTTCCTCTTTCCGGGGCTAACCATTCTTTCCTCTTCCCTCTCCCCCCACCACCGTTCGGCCTTGTTCCTGCCCTCTTTTCCTCTCGCTCCCTTCAGTGCTTCCCTTCCTCCATCCCTACTCTTCCCCCTAAAACCATGCCTTCCTCCTCTTCACTTCTCTCCAAACACTCACCTCCTCTGTTCCTTCGCTTAGCTGTTCAGGTTCCCCGTCCCTGATGATCGCCTTACCTGGGCTGCAACCGGATTGCTTGAACTTGCTCGATCAGACCAGCACCTCCAGAGTTGTGGTGTACTTGGCCCTGCTGAAAAAGTCGATCAGGTGCTGAGAACAGCCCTGGAAGGACCGTCTACGGCTTGCTAAACGACACCTCCGTTGTCACGCCGGACCCCTCCAGAGTTGTGGAGCATTTGGCCCTCCTCGAAAAAGTCGATCACGTGCTGAAAACAGCCCTGGAAGGCTGGAAGGACCGTCTATCTAGGGCTTGCTAAACGACACCTTCGTTGTGACGCCAGACCTGAAACCCGCCTCTTCCCTCGAAACGAAGACGAGGGCGGGGACGGGCTGCTCATTCCCGCCAAATGTATTCGCAATGTAACCCCCCAGAAGTTGAGATGTATGCCAAAGTGCCCCTGAAAGATGTGGGTACAACGGAATGCCCTTTTTGGGTCAAATTTTTCGTGTTATGCCCCTGTCAGGCCGCTCCACAAATTTGCAATGTGGACCTCGCCGTTTGGGCTTGGGCACTTTGCAATCCGGCCTTGGAAAAGTTGGCAAGTACGGGGGCATTTTGCAAACTTGGACGGTGCCCGGTAGGGATATTGTAAAGATGGGGGCTCAGTCCGGTGCCAAGGGTATTTCACAAAATGATTTTTATGTCAGAGGGGCATTCCCCTGTTTTCATATCTGTTAGGGGCATTTTGGCATATATCTCGCCTTATGGGGGTATTTTGCAAATTATCCCTTTCTCTTTAGACTCTCCTCCGGCCATCTCGAGCAGTCCCGAGGACGGATTCCTTGGAGAAAATTGGCATTTTAGGCGTCGATGTTCCACCCCTCCTCGGGGACGAATCCTAAATGCCTCCCCATGGCCAACTTCATATATATTTTTTTTTCTCTGTAGACACTCCTCAGGCCATCCCGAGGATGAATTCCTTGGACTCGGATAAAATTGGCATTTTAGGCGTCGTTATTCCACTCGTCCTCGGGGACGAATCCTAAATGATTCCCCACGGCCAACTCCATAAGCCAACTCCATATGAATATAGGCGGTCGCGCGTAAGATGTTCATCGTCCTGGTGGAATGTCCGTCCCTCCTCAGACGTGGTATGGTGACGATGGCGAGTACTTGGTGGCCTCCGAAAAAAAAAGGCACCAACACCCCCCTTCAAAATTTGAATTTCGATGGGAGCGAATCGCGCAGTCGACAATGACGCGAGTGCAAGTGGCGGCGGCAGTGAAGAGACCAGTGATTGCACGTCGACCTTCAGGGTGAGGCGAGAGCGACGGGGTTGAGGAGGAATCTTCAGGCTGCGGGCTGATGCATTCTTCAAGCCTACATTCAACCGCCATCGCTATTTTCACAGGCGACCCAAACCTTTGACACACACGTAGTATTTACATGGCAACGTTCTAGTTGCAACGAAAGCAATCGGGCATCCAGACGTCATCTCGGACCTTGAACAGCAGGCGGGGTTGGTTGTCCACGTCGACGGGCCGAGGTCCGCGACGGTCGCAGGGGTAGAGGTGAGGTGGTCATCTTTCGACGTCGGTGACAACAATGGAGGGCGGAAAGTCTGGTGCCCGGAGAGGATTGACCTCGTTGGAGAGAAGCGTGCTGGTGGCCGCCAGTCGGTTGAAGAGGGCATTTTGTTATGAGAGAAGGTTAACAACAGTCGTATTTTTCATCACCACTTCAGGATGCAGCCTGCCTAAACAGGTGGCTTTCAGGGTCTTCGGACCTTTCACCACTTCAGGACCATTCAGGTCTTCAAATCTTGAATGGTCATGAAATGGTGAAAGTTCCGAAGACCCCGAAAACCACATGTTTAGGCAAGCTGCATCCTCAAGTGGTGAAGGGTGGTTTTCATGGTCGTCGGATCTTTCACCACTTCATGACCATTCAGGATTTTCAGACTGCCCAAAACTCTCACTTGACACTTCAGGACACCCTTCACCACTCCAGGATGCAGCCTGCCTAAACAGGTGGTTTTCAGGGTCTTCGGACTTTTCACCACTTCCGGATCATTCAGGATTTTCATACTGCCAAAAACTCTCACTTCATAATTTTCATTCCCGAATTTTCAGCTACCCGATAACCGCTTGAATTTGCCATATGAAAGTCATACTGTCAACGTGAAACAGAGGATTCCGATCAACAAGAGGCGAACACTCCGGACTGCATCTACACTTCAGACGTCACCGTACAATTATGCGCTGCAATAGCATCCGGTGTCTTCTCGCCGTCGACGTGCAGATGGTGGATGAAACAAAGGACGGGAGAGACGTGGAAGGATCTATGATTGTGTGATGTGCAACAAATGACTACTACGAGAAAAACTTGCGCATTCCATAGAGAGTGTTCAGTAAGATTGTCGAGACATTGGCCCCTCAGCAACCACGACGACCTATTTTTTTTAGAGAGCGTTGCTGACACTAAATCATTTTGTTGTGTATGAGTTGTATTAATATATTGGTGGGCGAGTGGAGAAATGTAAGAGAGCAACACGTTTTCATTCAGGATTGAAAAAACTTCGAGACTGGTAGTTGTTGAGGACGTCATCACAATATTGTTGAAGGTGTACTTAGATAAGGTATCGTGGTTATAGGGGTTGCGGCGGTTAGCGTCATGCGCACATTCACGGATAAGGTTTTCCCCGACTACTACGAAATGTGTAGACTACGTGCACATCTACGTCGACAAGCCTGCCAACTCACCGAGCGAGAATTACTTCGATTGAAAGTATCGATTCTTCGTCATCGTGTAGGTGGTGGTCGACCTTGCCTTACGTTGTTCGAGGGTGCAATGTCCTGACCCTCCGCGGAGGACCACACACATCCAACTTGCGGCCTATTTCTGAATTGGTCCCAACGGGCTCCCCTATTGGCAAAAGCAGGGGGTGCGTCATTGAACCTTCTATTGGTTCACACGAACTCGGTGTCGTATTGTACAACAGAGCACAATCGCCTCGTGCTCGTGGTAGTTGTCCAGCTTGGCCGAGGAACACGAAGGTAGTAGCCTCGGCGATACCTCTTACACTGTGCGCCAAGTACGTCCTAGTGAAGTTATGGGACGGGTGTAAAGGTCGCAGTCACAATGAAAAGGAAATAAAATAAAAAAAAGTGGAACGTCGTGTTATATCTGCTTCAGGATCTAGATCGTTGCTAGTTTCGTTTAATCTAATGGTTATAGGCGGTCACGGCGTTATGTTTCGTGGGTATAATTTAATTCGTTCGTTTTAACTCAATTTTTTTTTTTTTTAAAGAAAAATACTAATCGTTTTGAATCCCATTTTTAGACCACGTTAGAGTTGAGGCTGCAGAATTTTCAAGTTCCTTGAAAAGATTGCGATCTGGTTATGAAGGTGCATTTGTTTTAGTGACCGTTGATTCTCGGATACTAATTACTTCTACTTTTATATTATTGGTTAAAATCTCATCGTAATATTTATTTCTATAATTTCTTATTTCAAAAGGGTTATGCAGGACCCTCGTTTAGAGAGCGGGTACCGTTGCGTGGTCTAGCTCTATAAAAAAATAGCAGTCGACCTACAGTGTTACTAGTTCATTGGTGTACTAAATGATGTGACCGTCCTCGTCACGACTGATTAAGATTATTGTGAGAGTGTTCAGTTTGGGGTTGTTTGAGTCCAACCTATGTCGTAAGATTGTGGCTAGTTATGTGAGATGAGAAGTGAGAGCAATTTAATCTGTGAGGTGAAAAGCCGCTATGACCTATCATAAGGGACTGGTTAACTATAGTCAAGACGTTTAGAGGTATATAGTACGTTGGTATCCAATAGTTGGCGAGAGACTTAAGATTACAGTGATATTGAATTACGATGGGGATGAAAGAAAAATAAACGTTAATATCGAGGGAGAAAAATAAGAAGAGAGGAGGAATGGCGTGAAATAAAAAAATGTTATCACAGAGGGTAAAAACAGGGCAAATAAGGGGTGTACGAGAGACTGAGACTCAGAGAAAGTGGAGGTAACGGTGACCTATCACGAGACGAAGCCTTCAATGATTACTACGGAGCAGGTGCAACTAAACCTATACCGTAACTCGGAGGTCGAAAGTGACGAGAGTGCCGCAGACATGAAAGAAAACGCAGGCAATATTAGGACCAGGTATGGACCAAATGATATGTTTGGACCAAACAAGCCATGCGAGCTACTGGAGGATGGTCGAAAGACCCGTTCTTGGTGATGAAATTGAGGCGAGACAAGCGTGAGGTGGTTACAGACAACGAGTGATAGTTTTGTGGAAAGGCGGAGAAAGAACGTGCAGTAGTCTGCAAGGTATTAGTGGCACGTATTCACATTTCAGGGTCAGACCTCTTGTGAGATTTTCGTAAACTATTTGCGGGAGACATGCGTACTTCGTACTGTTGATGTCATCTGCTCCCTTGCGTGGCATGTGTCACCTACGATCACACGTTCTATCTCTGCCATGATGTGGTATGAGCAGGTGAGCAAAATAGGTGTTGGAGATGCGAGTGAGCACCCAAGGTCAAACTTCAAGCATGAATGTTCTTGCTCTTGCGTGTGAAGGTTGTGGTTTACATCAATTGCGAGATATGCCTTCATTGTTATCTGCATTCTAGTGTGATATGCGTTACCCGACTTCGCTCGCTCCATCACTGTTTAAATGTGATAAGTGCGAGTATGTAAAGCGAGATACTGAAGAAGAGTGTGTTTCCTCGGACTCAGATCGAGAAACCAACATGTGAGGAGAGTTATTTACGTCACTCGCTCTCCTGCTTGCTTTATGTCATTTAACATCACCAGCACTCCAGCTTGACCCGTATCACTTGTTGTAACTCGTTGTATCTTTATCATGGGGAAGTTAAAACTAGTGCACGTACAAAAGAGGACGAGTGAGAGTGTACAGTCAAGGTGCTAGCTAGGGCGAGGTGTACCACTACGGAGAGATTTTAAGGAAAATTTGTGTATGCTTTGAGTAGCTAATGCCATCAAATTACCATGTTCTCGTCAGTAATCCTCCTTTTAAGAGTGGACAAAGTTGACACAAAATGAGTTGTATTATGCTAAAGGGCCTAAGGTGAGGGGCGAGATAAGGACTGTATAGGGGAGTAGTGAGGTCGAACGAGCAGTGTAGATGAA